ACTTTTTTTCGACATGCTATCCTGACATTTTTCAGACTTTTTTTTTTCAGCATGCTATACCAAGACATTTTTCTGACTTTTTTTTCGACATGCTATACTATGACTTTTCTTTCGACATGCTATACTATGACTTTTTTTAGACTTTTTTTTGACATGCTGTACTGACTTTTTTCAGACTTTTTTTTCAGCATGCTATACTATGACTTTTCTTTCGACATGCTATACTATGACTTTTTTATGACTTTTTTTCGACATGCTATCCTAAGACTTTTTTATGACTTTTTTCGACATGCTATACTAAGACTTTTTTATGACTTTTTTTCAGCATGCTATACTAAGACTTTTTTCATGACTTTTTTCAGACTTTTTTTAGACTTTTTTTTCGACATGCTATACTAAGACTTTTTTTCAGCATGCTATACCAAGACTTTTTTTTCGACATGCTATACTAAGACTTTTTCATGACTTTTTTATGACTTTTTTTCGCATGCTATCCTAAGACTTTTTTCGACATGCTATCCTAAGACTTTTTTTTTACTTTTTTTCGACATGCTATCCTAAGACATTTTTCGACATGCTATCCTAAGACTAAGACTTTTTTATGACTTTTTTCAGCATGCTATACTATGACTTTTTCAGCATGCTATACTGAGACTTTTTTTCGCATGCTATACTAAGACTTTTTTCATGACTTTTTTTTCGACATGCTATACTATGACTTTTTTCATGACTTTTTTTTCAGCATGCTATACTATGACTTTTTTATGACTTTTTTCGACACGCTATACTATGACTTTTTTTCCGACATGCTGTACTGACTTTTTCAGACTTTTTTCAGCATTCTATACCAAGACTTCTTTATGACTTTTTTTTGACTTTTTTCGACATGCTATACTAAGACTTTTTTCGACATGCTATCCTAAGACTTTTTTCGACATGCTATCCTAAGACTTTTTTTTGAATTTTTTTCGACATGCTATACTATGACTTTTTTCATGACTTTTTTATGACTTTTTTCAGCATGCTATACTAAGACTTTTTTTTCGTCGTGCTATACTGACTTTTTTCAGCATGCTATACTAAGACTTTTTTCATGACTTTTTTTTCGTCGTGCTATACTGACTTTTTTCAGACTTTTTTTTCGACATGCTATACTGACTTTTTTCAGACTTTTTTTTTCAGCATGCTATACTGACTTTTTTCAGACTTTTTTTTCAGCATGCTATACTTAGACTTTTTTATGACTTTTTTTCGACATGCTATCCTAAGACTTTTTTATGACATTTTTCGACATGCTATACTGACTTTTTTCATGACTTTTTTTTCGACATGCTATCCTCAGACTTTTTTCAACAGGCTATACTAAGACTTTTTTATGACTTTTTTTCAGCATGCTATACTATGACTTTCTTCATGACTTTTTTTCAGCATGCTATACCAAGACTTTTTTATGACTTTTTTTCAGCATGCTATACCAAGACTTTTTTATGACTTTTTTCAGACTTTTTTTCGACATGCTATTCTAAGAATTTTTCATGACTTTTTTCAGCATGCCAAATAAGAAATTTCATACCATGTCTTATTTCTGACATTTTTCAACTTCCTATACAATGACTTGATTTATTTTCTTGAATTTTTTGACAAATACTTTTTTTCATGATTCATGCGATTGTTTTTTTATGACCTTTTAAAATTATTTTTTTGATTTTCTTTTTGTATGACTTTTCAAGATGCTGTACTATAACTTTTATGACTTAATTATTTTTCCCACATGCTTGTGGTGGAGGAACTCCTATACCCACTTTAAATAAATAATACCGAAAACCAGGTTGTCTTATGTATTTATTCTCTGCGCAGAGAAGGTTCAATCATCACAACAGAATGCGAGCAGTCTCAGTGAGGAGGAACCAAGAAAAAAGTGAACTATAAACTTTCTTTATGCAGAATGAGCAACGGTGGGGGCCGATGGCCAATGTTAGACATTTTGGTCTCAGACTGAAAGGAACAACAATGAAAAACAAACTGCCAGCAACCAAAACAAGCGACAGGATGGCCTTGGTGCTGGAACATTCTCATACAACAGTTTATCTTAGGCGAGGGAGAATTTTTCTTCTGCACAGCAGACACGGTAAAGTTCAACAAAGTTCAGAGCAAAATGACTTATGCATGAATACAATATACTGAGTAGAAATATATATATATATATATATATACGAAGTAAAAATGTACCTTTACATGCTATACTATGACTTATGGCTCTTTTGAGACATAATATACTTTGAATTTTTTTACTGAACTTTGGGGCAACAAAGCTGAACGAGATAACAATATATTGTCTGCAGTGATGTTTAAGTCCTGGGGGGATGGCAGGCCAGAACCACATTTTTTTCCTTTGCAATTCTGACTGTCCATAGTAGTCTCTTCCTGTCCTGTTCGGTGGCTGATCCGAGGATGTTGGAAGCCCACTCGTAGTCCTGGGAGACGGTGGTTCTCAGAAACCTGGAGGCTGCAAGGTAGTTCCTAGATATGAAGCGCAGTCATCATGATCAAATAGAAACCTGACATTGGACAGCAATTGCAAAATCGAAATTAATTTCATGGAAATATTCGTCGGTGGTACAGAGGGAAAAGAGCATTGGGAGGGCACACATACCTGGTGGGCTGATGTCATTTCCCCAAACTTCCCATGCTGCCTCGGTGCTGTGAGGACACTGTGATCCACTGACAGCTGGGACGGTGTGCCGAGTGAGTTCAGAGATCCTTGCACAAGTACCCGGGGAGTCGACGTGGCATGTGGTGCAGAAGGGGCGACTTACTTTGCTTTGACTCTTTTATGACATACACGATATTTTATTGACACGCTAAACTATGACTTATGTCGTTTTAAGGACATACTATGATTTTTTTTCTTAATGTCATACTTAACTATGACATTACTATTGTGTATTTAGATTTTTACTATGACTTTACTTTTTGACATAGAACCTTTCTAAGTCATAGTACACTGACTTTTTACTACACAGTATATTAAGACTTCTGAATTTTAAAACATACTTTTTTTTGGACACTTTACGATGACATGATATACTATAACATGATTATTTGACATACCATACTATGCCTTTTTTACTTTAACATACTATAGTTACTTTTACTAACATGATATACTATGAATTTTCTAATCTATGACTTCATTACATTTAAAATAAAGGCTATACAAAAAAAAAAAAAGATTTCCTGTAACGTACTGTATATTGTTTGTACCCCAGACCATGTCAATAAAAAATATATATATACACAGCAATTAAAAAAATAATGAAGCTAAGAATTAGGTGTGGACCTGAGCCTGCTCCGACTATGTACATGTATATATGGCCGCACGCACGCACCTTGCAGTAAGTCCTGGTCTAGGATGAGTCTAGAGATAGTCAGTGATCCTGTATTAGCTTTAAAGGTAAATTAACACATCAAATACACACTATTGCACCTAGAAGCCTTCAGAGCAATTCAAAGTTTGTTTTCTAGGACTTCACAAGAACAAATCAAAATGTCTTGTAACGCACTGGTCACCATCGAGTGGAACTGGGTTTGACCTCTCCACAATGAGCCATCATTACACAAGCTCTACACCAAAAAAAGATTGAGCGCAGATATTAGTCATTGTTATTGATATTTCTCCAAGAGATGTAGGAGCGCAGAGCCAAAAAAAGAAGAACTGCCCACAGAAAGGCAGCACTTCTCTTAAAATACAGCCTGTCTCACAGGAGCTGCCTGCTGTTAGTACAACAAAGACTCCATCGCTCACGTTGTAGCCCAGCAGAGCACTGGACCCACTGTAGCCTGATCCAGAAACACTGTAAAGCACGGCCACTCGAAGGCCACACATCTGGACAAACGTATGTTATGCAAAAATAACTTTGGAAAGCAAACTGGAGAGTCAGACATTTCAAACTTAAAATACTGACCTTAAGATATCTCACAGTTTGCACTTAGTTCAAACACCATCACTGCTTTTGACTTTATAAATACATGTATTGTATTGCATCAGCACATATTGAATTTACTGGATATTGCATTCTAATTAATCTGGTAAGTTGTGTTCAGCCAATTTAATACACATGAATATTGAAAAAGGTTTAATCAAGTTGCATTTTCTCAAATAAAGGGACTATACACAATCTTTGAGGCTTTACAAATAGTGTTACATTTTATTAATATATTTTCATAAAACAAGTTTAAGACTGTATCAAAAACTCAGTAAAAACATTAGATTTTTTAACCATTTTTTCTTATGGTGATATCAGATATGAAATGTACATAATTCACATGTTTCTTTGTTCCCAACCATATTGAGATGATGCATTATTTTTTTCGTGATAGGTAGGTAAACGTTCTTTTGCACCGTCACAAACTAAAGTCATTCCCCCCCCCCCCCCCCCAATGATTGTGATCATAAATCTAGACATACAATTAAAAAATAAAATTATTTCCCACTCTCGCCCTCCCTTCCGCCCCGACTAGGTTTACTTATGACACTAACATAATGGAGTTGATTAATTTCACAGGCACACAATTATGTACATCCCCCTCGTCCCCATGCCTCATGTGACCAGACAACAGCGCACTAAACATAACAGCGCACCACCGAGAGGCAGGGCAGCCATAATAAAGTACTGTAGGCCCCCCCACCACTCATACCTACTGAACATAAGACAGTGGACTACATCACCCTGCTGTGAACCACAGCATCCCATTGGCCCCTTCATTACTGTTGTAGCAACCCCACATGGCTTGCCAACAGCAAAGCCAGTCATCTCACAGGCAGGTTTAGTGGCACACACATTTAACAAAAAAGAAAGGAAATAAAAGTCAGTATTTGTTTTGTAACTTCATTAGGCTACATCTACAACAGGCGTGGTCAGTGGGATGTCCTTTGTGATCAGGAACCAGAGGAACCTCAGTCATGTGGCGAGCTCAAGGATACAAAAAAGAAAACCTCACCTCCTTATTGGACTGGACTACTACCACTCACTGTGTGCAGTTCTGCGCAAAGACACATAGTGCAAGGTTTAACAAGAAATTGCATAAGTGCAACAAGGTTTGCATGTTATTGTCGAGAGGGAGCGAAGCAAGAGGAGAGAAACGGGAGAGATCAGAGTCCAAGAAAGAAACTAAAGAAAGCATTTCATGCTTTCAGTATTTCATTCCCCTCTAGAAATAACAGGTGCAAAATCTTAGTAAACCTAGCCGAAGGACAGATGAGAGTGATATAGAACTCATAAAGATTAACACTGTGAGGGGGAGCCTCAAGTCTGTTGTCATGGGAACATCTGCTCAAAAGGACCCTGCAGGCTTCAGTCTTTATTATTTTCTATACAATAGAAATAGTACATCATTGAAGATAAAAATGGACTCTTCTTGGCAAAAAAAAAGGAATATGCAAGAAGTCAAAAGCAGATCTGAAGGACAACAAAAAGAAATACAAAGTGTTCCCCATCCATTCGCCCTGTGCCAGCAGTAGTAGTACTTGCAGTAATTCTACGATAGTGTCTTATCCATGATGGTCAAATATGTGGGTATGGTTGCCTGCTCCTCTACAAAGTCAAAGCCTTTTAATTGAACATGTGTAAAATTACTCCTGCTGTAGTTTTTCAACAAGCATCCCTACATTGCACCTGCTTTCCAAAGTGAAAAGCTCCAGTGTGCGTTAGGGAGGCACATAGGGAGGGGGTGACCGGTACGAGGTCATGTTCTTGGGGCGAGAGCCCTTGCCCTCTATGGGGACAGTAAATGGTGGTGGGGGCTGGTAAGGTGGTGCGTTAGGATCGTCATCTTGATAAATAGAGTACTCCTCCAGCAGATCCTGGTCCAGCAGGTTACTGTGCGGACCGGCCATGTTGGGGTACTCCGGAGGGGGAAGTGGGGGCTTCTCCTCCTGAAGGATAAGAGGGATGCTGGAGGACGGGGGCGACTTGGAATCATCCAACTCGTCTGCGAATATTATGGGGACTCCTTTCTTGATGAACGTGGCCTGCTCCTCTATGGTCATCTTCCCCTTGCGCTTCTTGCGGTAGCAGACCATGGCAATGATCCCGGCGATGAGCAGCAGGGCGGCTACCACGACGGCGGGGATGACGGTGTGCAGGTAGACGTCGTCGCTGCTCCTACGACCGGTCCCGGGTGAAGGTGTGGCCGTGGGAAGAGCGGGCATGGGCACCTCTCCTGGTGGGATGAACGTGTAGCTCTGACATTTATTGGTGCCACGGATGGAGATGTTGATGGGTTTGAAATCAGGCTCCATGGCTTTGGTGAAGGCCAGTTTGGGAGTCCCTTGAGGATCAGAGATCCTGTTGCTGAGAACTGTGATTTGGTCCTTCGGACAAGAACTTTGCTGGAGACTGTTGTTGGTCCACTCCACCACAATCGAGCCTCTCGTGATGCTTCTGAGGGTCACCGTGCTGCTGTTGCGATCACCGAGGGCATACGCTAACTTTTTGGTCAAAAGAATCTTCTTGTGGACGTCGTTGCTTAATGTTTTGGGGTCACCGTGGAAGCGAGCAGCAAACACAACTGATGGTTTGTCGTTAGTAGACCAACGGTTGACTTGAACCTCAAATGCGTCTATGATGCTCTTCCCACCTTTGTCAGTGGCCAACATGAAGTACTCATGTTTCCCCTCGTGCTGCTCCTCTGGGAGGCCGTACAGAAGCTGGATAGTGCTGTTGAACTGGATCCAGGAGGTTTCATTCACTGCTTCTTTGGGGGTCTTTTTCAAAGTCAAACGCAGCTTATCGGTGGTACCATCCTCCCGGTCATAGAAGGTATCTGGAGGAATCTTAATCTCGAAGTATGTTCCGACCCATGCATTCACCTGATCAACGGCGTTGCGGATTTCTGGGTTTTTATTTTGGTCAGGAGTCAAAGTGAGAGGAGTGGTGCGTTTGGGCGGTTTAGGTGTGGTGGACTTGGGCTCTCGGGGAGCTGGTGTGGAGGTTTTGGGTTTCTTAGGTTTCCTCGTGGCAGAGGTTTTGGGTCTTTTGGTGGTGCTTGGTGGCGTCGGCAGAGCAGTGGCCTCCACAATTGTAGGCCGAGTCATGGTGGGCTGAATGGGGATGGTGCTTGTGGTTCCTAGTACCCTCGTGGGTTGGGGCAGTCCAAATACAGGTGTGTGGGCTATCTGATCTCTGACCCTCATAGTGGGCTTCACCGGAAGAGGCAAAGGACCCCGGACGGGGGGAGCAGAGTTCTCTGTTGCTAGGGCAATAGAGGGCGAAGTCGGCGTGGGAACAATGCGTACAGGGGGCTCCGGGTGAGAAGTCGGAGGAAGCAAGGAGGGGACTGGGGTAGGAGTGTTGTACAACTGCCGTCTGACCCGTTTCACTCCATGGGGCTTCTTGTTCACGATGTGCCAGCCAACCACTGGGTATCCCAGCCTGGCCGACATGGTCCCATCCTTTGCAAAGGATTGGACACTGTCAATGTCGGGGATACTGCCCTGGTCAAGGGCGCACCCCAGTTTCCATGACAGAAGCGCCCCATTTTCCACCACCTTCTTGGCGTTCCCTGGTCCGGCCATGAAAGCAGACATGTCAAACAAACGGTTGTTCACAACAGGGACCACCCTCATGTGCTCCAGGGGCACGTGGGAGAATTTTCTCATGATGCCCAGTAAGTTGACCCTCTGTTCAGCAAACATCTTTGTCAAGTCAGCATCCAGGATGACGGTGAGGACGGTGACGAGCTCCTCGGAGCCGCAGGTGAAGGGCTGGACGCCATTGCTATCCGACTGTAGAGTGAGCAGGGTCGGCTCGGTGTCGGCTCGTTCTTCTGGGTACACTTCAATAGAGAAGACCGTACTCGGGTACACTTGGCTGCCAGTCTTCTCAGTCATCTCGTCTCCAGACACCAAGATATGATACACACCTTTATCCTGCTCCAGGGCCAAGCCTCTCAAAACGCAGCTCTCTTTGTCCCAGTACAGCCAATATGGTAAAGTCTCCTTTCCCATTTCAGCAAGCTGCAGGAGGGAAAAAAGAGACACAATCACTGTTTTGTACTTCAGGGATACGTCTGAGATGTAAGTTGAGTCAGAAAAGGAAAACGTCATTAAGTGATAATTCACAGCAGAATGAATTATGACTGGCCATTAACATTTACCAGGACCTGAGTGGCATCTTAAAATTACTTAGTTTGACTATGAACTTTAAAATAATATGAAACAAAGAAAAGAAAGTACATATTGGCAATTGTGAAGTTGAATCTAGGAAATGTTTGGTATTAAAATGGTGAATATATGAGCATACACAAAACCCTGTTTTTAATGGTTTGATATTGACCAAGTTTCCAGTAAATCAGGAGCTAGAGAAACTAAACAGAATAGATGAATGCAAATCTTTCAACCATCTAGAGTAAAAACGGAAACGCTTCTCCTATCTCCCCGACCCCCTCCACATTCCATTCACTTTATCAAATCTTGCCAAATAGGAACAGGAAGCAGAGTGAGCTTCCATTGATAATAACTATGCGAGTCATCACTCTTCATTTTGAGTTATTACAATATGACAGGATATCATTCTGCATCACCACTTGGGCCAATAATAATCTCATCTCATTCATAAGTCAGACTGGAACAAATTGTACCAACGTCGGCTTCAATCAGCAGCGATACGGTGATTAAAAACTGAAGGGATGAATACTATATATTTCTGCAGACAAAGACAAATGTTGTCACCATAAGGGACAGAAAAGAACAATAAAATGTAGTTAATGTTTACACAGCCCTCTGTTAAACTCATTCTTCATTCTATTATTATAAGTTCACAAATGATACTCGTGCTGGGTCCATTTAAACGTATAAGAAGGCACCTCCCACATAAAATGAGGGGAAAATTGTTTGTCTGAGTCTCTTCATATCAAAGCAAATTGACTCAATAATCTCATTAAATGAATGTTTAATCATTTATATGCAATTATTTGAAAATACCAACACATTTACATCATGTAATGAAGGATTCAATATTAAATGCCAAACATTTCCCACATGAAATCAACAGATGTATCAACATTTAATTGTTCTTATTATATCTGATCTTCAGGTTACTTACATGGACATTGCAGGTTGCATTGGCTGGTCCCGGTGGAACCTTCAACTGAAACACCTGGCCTACGATAGCAGAGGAGTCCGGGATGCCGGTGTGTACTCCCCCGTTCTTTGCAGAGGAATCTGGGATAGCTGGAGGCGTTCCCTCACCAACCGAAGATGCTGCAGCCTGGAGCTCAGCGAGCACAGAGGACTGCATAGAAGCCTCTAGTTCCACAGATATCATCTCCGCCGGTGTATCGTGCTGTTCTGGCACAGCGCCCTGGGCCATGGTCACCAGAAGCCCTATTAGCAGAAGGATAGTCCTACACGAAAGAAGCTCTCGCCTCCCGGCATCCCCACAGCTCATGTCTCTCCGTTTATAGTGCATAGCAATCAGCCTTTGGTCTGCCCAACAGATGTCTATGAACCACTTAAGAGGCCACATGCACCGCCGTCAGTCCGGTGATATGCTTGTGGGTCAGATTCCCTAGTTATTGGCTGTGCTCACAGATGCAGTGGTTTCTCTTTGCCGTCCTCTGTGATCCATGAAGAGCTCTTTGGCAGCCTGTTAGAGAGCCATGTCAGCCAGCTACACGAGGAAACGAGGAAGAAACAAACATGAGTGACAAAATAAAACCAGCAGTGCAAACATTCAAAACACTTACACAAGAACATTCCTGGCGACGCTGTTTCATAGTCAGTGATCTCAACACGTCTGCAGAAGGTTCATTTATTGAATATATAAGAAAAACAACTATATTATATTGTTCTAGTACTTTAACAGACCTGATACTAGTGTTCACTTTGTTCGCAAAAACTACAACTAAATATGTTCATCAATTACCTTTGTTTACCATGACAAAGAGGAGATGATGACAAGACAGCACCGACATCATTAACGCTAACTGTGACACAAAAACAAGACTAAATGTAGTTAAATTAAATATAAAGTTTACCAAAATCCCTTATATCCCAATATAATCTGATGGCTACAAAAAAAAAGGAGTAAAATATCAAGTTCTCTTTGACAAAGATGAAACTAAAATGCCCAGACTTTTAGTCAACTAAAACTAAAACAGGATACGGTTGACTACATATGATAAAAACTAACAAGAACAGAACAGACTAAAGGCCTTACACACCGGGGCGTGACGAATAAAAAGACATGAAAATGTGAAATACTCTCCTGTGAATATCCTATGTCTAGAGCTCTTATTGTGAAAGGAAAAGAGAGGCGTGGATCTGGTATGCGCTGCCTTTGTCGCGGTTAAAAGAAGTGACAAAATTAGCCGTCTTGGTTCAGACTACGGCGCCTCCGAGTTGTTGCTTTATTGTCCTCATCATTACTCAACCTGTTCTGCACAACATGACCGGTTGATGCCTTTATTCGCGGTGTAAAAGCTCAGAAACATCTCCCTCGGAGGATTTTTGAAACCACATTTGTCTTCCTGATATACTTTATAAGCTACCTGAGGTTAAATAAATAAATAAATAAATAAATAAACCACCACACAAAGACTGGCTGAAAACTCTGATCTCAAAATGTATGCATTTAGTGATTTATGCCAACAGCATAAATGATATTTCCATTTAGATCGTGTAGTTTCAACGTAATAAACATTATTAGAAAAGCGACACATCGATCTACTGATCTTCACTTCTCTGTCACGGCATTTTTAGCCATAGCGATTCTCACGAGATGCACGAGTGTCAAAAGGTTGTTTGTCTTGGTTGTAAGTTTTAATTAGGTGCCCTGGGGGTTGGAATTAGAGTCTCCATTGTGCTGACCCAGCCAACCTCAATCCTGTAGCACTCAGAAACGGGCAGAGGAGGGTCATCCAATTGCCTGGAATCCTAATGCCCGACTGGCACAAAGCTGTGACGTCAACTTGTACAAAATGTGCCTCCTCTAAACTGCTCCAGACACACAAGTCTTATTACGGAGGGTCTTAGTGAAAAGCATGTGATTCACTGGTCAACATCTCGATCAACAACCTGCGTCATGAAATCTGTCAATAAGTCGAAGGATGTTTCATACTGCTTGAACTTGTTTTATTTAATAAACCATGCACATTAATGCACGGCCTTCCAGTAAACTAGCTCCTCCTGTAGCAAACAAAGCTGAGCTTCCACAAGATTAGTTTGTGCCTCTCATTCATCCACTCTCCACTGTCTGACATTCAAACATCTAGTTTGTATCTGTTCAACATACACAACATTTTTTCAGTTTTTAGTTCCCAGTGTCTGGAGCTGTTTTTTTTTTAACCTTTAAAACCTATTTAATAAGGCTCGTTTGCAATTCATGTATTCTAAAAAGGCGGCTTATTAAACAGTTGAGCTACTGTATTTGGGGGGGGGGGGGGGGGGGGACAAGCCACTATCTGGAATTTATCTGTTCAACATAAACAGCAATATAGAAGG